ACACACACACACACACACACACACACACACACACACACACACACACATGCTGCGTCAGTGCTGGATGGCCCTGTCTTACAATGTCGTGGTTCCTCATCCTCCGTTTTGAATTTTAGGACTGACTTCAGCTCTCCCTGCTGAGAACTTACCAGTGTTTAACTCTGCATTTATCCTCTGTTTTAAATTCAGTGACCGGCCTTCCCTCCGTACGCCGCGCAGCAGTCCAGGCCTGGCTGGAGACTGTCTCCGGAGGTAGTCTGGTGATATGTGACCCCCCCCGCACCCCGTTCATCATAACCTCTTTCTCTAGGCAGCTCCGCTGGCATATCTTAACTCTAGGACTCAGCTCCTGTCGCTGGTGCATGCGAGGGCAGAGCCAGTGGGCGGGGCTCGTGCATGCGTAGTCAGACAGCCCATCTGCATGGACCAGAAGAGCATCCTCTTCCCAGGCAGGCTGGAGACCAGCAGTGGAGATAGGGCGGAGTCTCGCCTTTTAAGAGTTACTGTTAGCAGTTGGATATGAAAGCCAAGGTGTAAGGAAGCTTTTTCTTTTGTTTTTCGAGACAGGGTTTCTCTGTGCCACAGCTCTAGCTGTCCTGGAACTTCCTTTGTAGACCAAGCTGACCTCGAACTCACAGAGATCCATCTTCCTCTACCCCCCAAGTGCTGGGATTAAAGGCGTATGCCACCACACTCTGGCAGGAAGCTTTTTTTTTCGGTTAGTTTTTGGGTTTTTTTTGTTGTTGTTGTTGTTTTGTTTTTTGGTTTTTTTGGTGTTTTTTTTTTTTTTGAGACAGGATTTCTCTGTGTAGTCCTGGCTGTCCTAGAACTCACTCAGTAGACCAGGCTGGCCTCAAACTCAGAGATCCACCTGCCTCTGCCTCCCAAGTGTTGGGATTAATGCGTAAACTATCACCACCTGGCTTTCTTATTCTTTCTTTTTTTTTTAGCGAAAGAAGATTTTTATGAAGTTTTATGCCTATAGAAATGCAGTTGGGTAGCGGTGGATGTGGGGTGAAGTCAGGTAGCGTTCACAGACCTACGGATACATCAGAGGAACAGTCAAAACAGGAATTACTGGAAAGTTGACCTAAGGGGAGAGGTGAGGACTGGTGGACACTGCCGATGCTGAGCTCTGCCAGACATTGCCTGGTGGCACCTGAGCTGGGTCCCCAGACTTAAACTACAGCATCTCAGTGCGCAGGCCAGAGGCGACCTGAGGAGTCTCAGTTGTCTGCCTTTGTTGCACTAGAAACCTGTTTCTCAAGGAGAGGGTGCCTGGCATCTGGGATGGGTCAGACAGTCCGTCCCACTACAGGGTGTCTAGTCCTGCCTAGACACGGGCTTCTTCCCAGGAACCCCCAAAAAGGAGACAGCACCCCCCTCCGGTTGAGAACCTATATCCTAGCAGTTACTTCTGGGACCAGTAGGGACGATGCTTGTGGACCTTTATCATCCTTGCCCTCACAAACAGCTGAAATTAGACATATGTAGAGAGCCCATAGGTGAGAGAGGACTTGGAGTCTAGCATGGCTAACCCTGAGTTATCACTCAGTCTTTGAGGTAGAGGAAGGAAGAGCGAGACTGAGGAGAAAGGATGTCCTCGCAGGCAGCTGAGATAAATGGCCACTCCCAGCTTCCGTAGTGTGTGGCTCCTCACTTGTGTGGCGGCTTTCAGCACAGCGCTCCATCTTAACCAGAATTCCATCCCTCAGTGCCATCGCTCTAGCTGCGTCTCCGCACACATCTGCTGCTGCTGCGTCAAAGCTCTGAGTGTTTGCTTGTTCATCTGTGTGACCGTCATTTCTTCCGAGGAATTCGAGGCGTGTGGGATCCCCACCTTCCAACTCTACAGCGGTGTTTCTCAGGAACACTTGGAAGGACCAAGAGATCAGGCTGGAGGCTGGGCCAGCCTGGGGAACCGAGGAGTGGTCTCCTTCGTGTTTGCTTCCAGCTTTCTTGCCAGAGAGAATGTGGTTACCACCTCAGTGCCAGGCGCTCAAGCCAGCACATTGTGCACAAAGGCCATCTGCAATGGGCCCAGATTTTGTTCCCAGCAACCTCTTGTTCCCCAGCATGGCAGGTGCAGTGATGGACTCACCAGCCGAGTACAGAGTCTAGTTTTAAAGCAGGACCCAGGGTGTTGTCCAGTGGGTGTTCATGTCTCCAAAGTCTCAGACACACATTCTCTGGTGAACATCTTCGTAAGCGCCCCAAAGCAACATGACTACTCATGGGAAGGCTTTAGACCTGTGGGAATACTTGGGTGGTTTTTCCCCAGTATTTGTCCCAGCGAATGTTGTCAGTGTACGAGAGTGCCTTGGCCATGCCACTCCCTGGATGGCGCTGGTGTCTCAGAAAGAGCAGGTGGTAAAGTTCAGCTGCCACCACTTCCTAAACCCCGTGCTGTCTACCATTCCTCAACGTGTTTGCCATAGTTCTCCAGTTTCAACTTTGAAAAGTTCATCTGGGCATGGTGGCACATGCCTTTAATCCTGGCACTCAGGAGACAGATCTCTAGATTCAAGGCCAGCTTGGTCTACATAGCAAGTTCCAAGCCAGCCAGAGCTATGTAGTGAGACCCTGTTTTAACAAAAACAAACAAGGACTTGGGGATTTAGCTCAGTGGTAGAGCGCTTGGGCAAGCACAAGGCCATGGGTTCGATTCTCAGTTCCAGAAAAAGAAAAAAAAAAAACAAGCATAAAATGTTCTTCATAGATTTGAATTATCATCTTATGGATTGTGTGCTAAAAGTAAGTGTACAAAAGTGTAGAGAATTAAATCAAAACTCACAGAACTGCCTCCCCCTATGTCAAGAAATATAGCATTCCCAGAATCTTCACAGTGCTGCTTCCTACTCTCAGCCCCACCCCCACCCCCAGTATCACCCACCCACCCAAAGGAGCCTCTTTCATTGGTTTGTCATCACCTGAGCTCAGTGGCCCCGTGCTGGCTGGGAGCACAGCAGTAGGTTGGCCTGGCCTCTCCCCACTCCCCTCAGCTTTGAGACAGTCCAGATGTGTTCTGATGCCTTACCCCGCCTGAATCAAAAGCATTGCCCTCAGGCTGACAGCATCCCCAGGCAGAGCCTCCCTCTGCTCCCCTTCGCAGTCCTCTGCAGGCCCAGGCGAGTCCCGGGTGCCGGGGCGTACAGCTCAGGGGCTGTCTGCCTCAGGGTGGATGAAGTGGATGAATGCCTTACTTTATTCTGCAGCCCTAAAGAGCCATTCTTGAGTCTAGAAAGGGAGCTTGACGTATCCCCTCAGGTCCACCCTCTTGCTTCAGCAAACTCTCAGTTGTCTCTAGAAAAAGCACCAGCCTTTTCATGTGCTGATGCAGCTGAACAGCAGAGCCCACTGTGAGTCGCTTGACCCTCAGACCTAAGCTTTGTCACCCAAAAGTGACCTTGAGGAACAATCCCTCCAGCTGGCTGCCTCAGGCTGAGGAGTGACTACCTCAGGGCACATGAAGTGGCCAGCACTGGGTCTGTTATATAAAGTCCTGTTAAGAGTTGCCCATGGCCCCACAGCATCCCTTGATTGTGACTGACTGGAGCATCTCCAGCAGCAGCCTCTGGAGGAAGAGGTGATACCTCCAGGCCAGAAGCTGCTTCTCCCTCCACATGGCCCTATTAGAGTGGAGAAATGGCCGTGGTACCCACGCTGCTTATAGAGCGCACTCCATATCTGTCCGGGGCCTCCTGTCTCCCCGTGGCCTGTGCATCACTACCTTCTGCCCCCTGCACAGTTAGTTATTTGTCTGACTGTCCTTTGCTTCCCGTCCGTGGATGTCTGTGCTTTACAGCCCCTCTGGATGAGAATGACCTAGAAGAGGACGTGGACTCAGAGCCAGCGGAGACTGAAGGGGAAGCTGCAGAGGATGGGGACCCTGGGGACACTGGTGCCGAGCTGGATGGTATGGGGCCCAGCCTTCCTTCTGCACTTGTGTGACCTCCTGTTCCACACGGGGGACAGAATCAGATTGGGATTTGTGGAACTCACAAAAAGATACTTTATAGCAAAAGTTTAGGGGGACAGCTGGGGTGGGGGTAACTCTGGGACTGGAGAAAGAAATGGGGAAATGAGCCCACGGCCACCCCCAAAAGGGTTTTGGTGGTAGTGGTGGTTGGTGATGGTGGTTTGCCTCTGTCGCAGCCTCTTGTGTTGTGGTCACTGTGTTGTACAAGTAATCAAATGGGATGGGGAGCTGGCTCGGTGGTCAAAGTGCCTGCCGCACAGGCAGGACTGCTGAGTTCAGCTACCTAACACCCGTGTAAATGCCAGCTGGGCACAGAGGAGGGAGCCTGGCCGGCCAGTTAAGCTGAAAGGCAAGCTCCAGGTTCAGGGTGATCTTGTCTCAAAAAGCTGAGGTAAAGAGCAATGGGAGGCACCATTGTCAACCTCTGGCCTTCATACGGGTGAGAACAGACAGACAGACAGACACACACACACACACACAACCCAAAAGCACCACAAACCCCACATTTAGAAGGCAAAATGGATGCCTTGTGTTGGATTTATCTCTGGTAAGAGGCTCAGTTTTCCAGGGACTGTGCACCTGGGTTAGACCTCATGCCACGGTGGACCATCCTATTGAGACTTCTCTAAGGAAACAGGACACAGAAAAGGCACACGGCCAGAACTCAAACGTGTAAAACTTTGTATCTCACCTACCTCCCCCAGATCAGCACTGGTCTGATGACATTCCTTCCGACGCCGAGACGGAACTTCGCTTACAGTGCCAGGCCAAGGCGAAAGCTGAGCTGGAGCTGAGGGTGTCAGAGAACGAGGAAGAGAAGCCGCCTGATACACCAAAGCAAGAAGAGAGAGGTAGGGGGCAGGAGGAAAGACTTCCAGAATGCTAGAGACCGCAGGGCATGCTGGTAATACCAGTGAGGCCTTCAGAATAGAGCTTATGGTGCCTAGCCCTATGGGTGGCCAGGACCCTAATCATGCCTGATCTGGTCCTTGCCTGTCTGGGGCCACAGGTCTCTACCAACAGCCTCTGTCAGTCGTACCCTTCCTTGTGTTGTTTGGGAGCACGAGAATAAAGACATCACAAAGCTCAAGGCCCAGATCAAAGCCACCACACATAATGACTAGAGTGCCACACAGGAGCATGCAGGGTACTGCAGCACCCTCCTTGAGTCCCTTCATTTGGTTTTCTGTTTGTTTGTTTGTTTGTTTGTTTGTAGAATAGCTTGAGGATAGACCCAGGAACACAAAACAAGTTATCCGTTCTGAGTGCCTGCTCTCCTTCCTCAGCAAGGGGCTGGCTGTACTGTGAGACCCTCCGTGGATCTGGCTGCTCCCTACCCCTAGTATATGTAGAGTGGAAGGGACTTAATTCCTATTGTGAACCTCCGTGTCCCTCCTTTCCAGGTCCTTCCCAAGTCTCCAGCCCCAGCCAGTCACCTCAGAAACAAGCCATTCTGCTCACCCCAACCCACAGCCCTGAGGCAGAGGTAAGTAGAGCTGGGGACAGACAGGGCTGTCAATGGGACCTTGAGACCTTCTTAGGACCCACGGTGTATGCTCCACAAAGAGAGGTGAAGCAGCCCTATAACCACCTAACTTTGTGAAATTCTAAAAATTTCCTATCTTGTGCTGTGTACGGCTGTTGATGACGGGCAGGCTTCAGGTGCTGCCTCAGTCCTTGTGGATGGGCAAGGACTTTTTTCTTTTTTTTTTTTTTACAAGTTTCTTTTTAAGTTGATATGTATGCATCTATCTATAGGTTTATAAAAGGTACTTTTTTCTTATGTTAAAATAAACATATAACTATTTAAATGAAAACCATGCCTCGAGATCACCAGAACCACCTTAGAGAATGACCATGAATGTGCCATATCACTGTCTGAGGGTCTTAGTCTGGGAGGTACCACTTGCAGGGCAGACTTGGAAGGAATCAAAGCCCAGGCCTTGGTCTCTGGGGCTCCAGGAAACATGGCACAGTCCAGTGATTGACCTGAGAAGTGAACAGCCCTGGAGTAGGTATCTAAGGGTCTGTGTGCGTCTCCAAGGTTCCTCGGAGGGGCAGTGTAGCTGGAGAGGGTCTGTGTGCGTCTCCACAGTTCCTCAGAGGGGCAGTGTGGCCGAAGAGGAGGACTGTGCTAAGTAATGACTTTAAATCCTTTTGTACATTAGCCCCATGTTATCCCTCAGGGACCCCAGAGCTCTAGTTATTGTGGGTTGTGATGAAAGCCAAATTCATTAGTGTCCTTGGCAGTGTTCGTGTGAGTGGACTAAGAACTCAGGACGTGCGTGAGATGAGCCATCCCTGAAAGCTCAGCACCCCCCCAGCTAAGTGGAGAGGTTTTGAAACATTAATAAGTGGAGCAGAAAATGAGTCCGCCCTCCCTCTTTGAATAATAGCCGAAAGAATGGAGAGGACTTTGATTTGCTTCCACCAGTGTGGGCCCTTGAGGGAGAAAGCTCCCCGAGGGAAGGTACTGATTACACTGTCTCTTCTTTCTGTGTAGGGGGCCCAGTCCCCACTTACCTCTGTCACCACCAAGGCCAAGTCCCCCGCGGAGCCCCTCTTCCCTGCACCTCTGCTCCCCAGAGAAAAGCCCAAAGCTGAAGCCCCCACAGATCAGAAAACTGTGCACTCGCCCATCCGATCACAGCCTGTGGCCCTGCCGGAAGCCAGGACACCTACCTCACCTACCCGCTTACAGCCAGAGTCTCCGCTGGCCCCTGCCCCACCTCCCTCAACCCAGCTCCCCATCTGTTCCCAGCCTCAACCTTCCTCAGATGCTTCAATCCCGTCCCCCTCCGAGTCCCCCATACGCTTCCAGCCAGTTCCAGCCAAAACATCCACCCCCTTGACCCCACTCCCTGTGAAAAGCCAAGGAGACCCCAAAGACAGACTCAGTGGCCCTCTGGCTGTGGAGGAGGCCCTGAAGCGGAGTGATCTGGTAGAGGAGTTCTGGATGAAGAGTGCCGAGATCCGCCGCAGCCTGGGCCTCACTCCTGTGGACCGGAGCAAGGGGTCGGAGCCCAGCCTCCCCTCACCCGCCTTTAAGCCAATATCCCTAAAGTCCTACTCGGTTGACAAGTCCCCTCAGGAAGAGGGCCTCTGCCTTCTGAAACCTCCATCTGTTCCTAAAAGGTTGGGCCTGCCAAAGTCAGCTGGTGACCAGCCCTCTCTGCTGACCCCAAAGTCGCCCTCTGAAAGGGAACTGAGGAGCAATCAGGAGGAGCGAAGGGACCTCTCCAGCAGCTCGGGCCTGGGCCTCCATGGCAGCTCTTCCAACATGAAGACCTTGGGCAGCCAGAGCTTCAACACCTCGGACTCTACCATGCTCACTCCGCCTTCTAGCCCACCCCCACCCCCACCTCCCAATGAGGAGCCTGCAACCCTGCGAAGGAAGCCCCATCACACTTTTGAGCGCAGGGAGGCCTCAGTTATTCCTCCTCCTCCTCCTGCCACATTCATGCGGCCCCCACGGGAGCCAACCCAGCCCCCCAGAGAGGAGGTCCGTAAGTCCTTTGTGGAGAGTGTGGATGAGATCCCCTTTGCTGATGATGTGGAGGACACTTATGAGGACAAGACTGAGGACTCGAGTCTGCAGGAGAAGTTCTTCACACCCCCCTCCTGCTGGTCCCGGTCAGAGAAGCCCCTGGCCAAGGAGAATGGGCGGCTCCCTCCCCTAGACCGTGATCGTGATGTGCAACCGCAGAAAAGGGGACTGCCTCTGGTCTCTGCAGAAGCCAAGGAGCTGGCTGAGGAGCGCATGCGAGCCCGGGAGAAGTCTGTGAAGAGCCAGGCACTTCGAGATGCCATGGCCAAGCAGCTGAGCAGGATGCAGGCCATGGAGCTGGCAGCCTCGAGGTCCCGCATAATTCCATCTCAGGGCAAGGAACTAGGGCCCGAGTCCACCAAGCGCTCAGGCTTCCGAGGTTCCCAGGAACCCACTCTGAAGCATGAGGCTACTAGTGAGGAGATCCTCTCTCCTCCATCAGACTCGGGAGGCCCTGATGGCTCTGTCACCTCCTCTGAGGGTTCCAGTGGGAAGAGCAAGAAGAGGTCGTCCCTCTTCTCCCCCCGTAGGAACAAGAAAGAGAAGAAATCCAAAGGGGAAGGCCGACTCCCAGAGAAACCCAGCCTGGGCCTCCCAGAGGAAGTGGCTGCTAAGCCCAAGTCCCTGTGGAAGTCGGTCTTCTCTGGATACAAAAAGGACAAAAAGAGGAAGAGTGATGAGAAGTCTTGCTCCAGTACCCCATCCAGTGGTGCCACGGTGGACTCCGGCCAGCACAGGGCGTCTCCGATTGTGAGAGCAGGTATGCGTGGCTGAGGGAACTCACAGGAGAGGTGTGGGGAGTCCCTTCGCAGTCATTCAGTTCACCAAAGGTCCACTTCCCATGCCACTCTTGCATGGATTCTTAGAAAGGAGAGCAAGCTGTTCCTGCCTCAGCCTGATCCACTGCTCGAAATAATGTTAATGCCAACTTGAAACCAGAGGGGTAGATTCCTGTTGGTATCCTTCCTGAGGTCACATGACCCCAAACATGGGCCTGATTTTGAGTGGGACGGAGAAAAGTCTTGCTAAGGGGTCTTGAACAGGTGTCTAGGATGCTGTTTGGTGTTGGCCCATTGCCTTTGGGGACAAGCCTGTGTCTCCTTGTGTAGGAGGGGAACCTTAGAGACCCGCCTAAGGCTGGCTTCCCTGCAGCATGATTTCATGAGGTGCTGGCTGCTGTCTTCACTTAGCCTCTTTTCACCATGCAGAGCTGCAGCTCCGGCGCCAACTGAGTTTCTCAGAGGACTCAGACCTGTCCAGCGATGACATCCTTGAGAGGTCTTCCCAGAAGTCCAAGCGAGAGGTAGGTGGGCCAAGTCCATGAAGGACTTCAGAGAACTGGTGACAAAATGTCAATTTAGTCTCTGGTAGAGAAGCAGACCATTGGGGTGCAGAGCCAATGCCTGCTTTGGTCTCCTAGCAGATAGACATTGGAGTGCTGTGTCAGCCCACAGCCAACAGCAAACGCCACAGAATGGTCTCTCAGGCCTTTGAAATAAGCATCTGGGGATATTGCCTCAGTCCTAGGAAGTCAGGGTACTCTGTTGGTTAAGTGCCTGGCATTACACGGTGAGCAGTGTCTTCCGGGGTCAGACAATTGGAGAAGAGCTGAGGTACTGCTTGGGATCATGCAAGTATGAACTGGACACCAGGCATGGATGGGAGGTAGACCAGATGGCTTTTTCAGTAATCCCTAGGAATAGACCTGGTCAAGCTGACTGTCTGGTGTGTTTGTCAAATAGAAGGCTTTTTCTGTTTTAAGAATTGACCCTGAAGCACCACGAATTGAAAGCATTGGTGCCGGGTCATCCACTGGGGCATTAGCACCTACTAATGGCCACCCCCTCACGTACCTTTTTGATGTGACTTCTCAAAACTTGGACTTATATGCTGTCCCCTCTGTCAAGAGCCTTGAACTGTAGAGCAGCCAGAGCAGACTAAGGTAGCTCTGCACTCCATATGTGTCTGTTCGTTGAGATGGTATCTCCGTTATAGGTCCATCCTCCAGCCTGTCTCAGTCCCTCTGAATTATTATCCAGCAGACTAGGAAAAGTCAGTTTATTGGTACTCATTCCCCTATCTGCATTTTATCTCCCTGGGCATGAAGATACCTCGTTCTCTACTCTTCTAGTCACCAAGAAGCACAGACTGTTCTTCCTTCTCAGTCTCCTGCAGCCAGGCCTCATTGCTTGCACCAGGAGTCTGAATATAGGACCAGGGGCTGTGTGCTCTCCGTGGGGGCTCAGTCCAATGTGTTGCTCCTGGGTATGCCTACCAAAGTCTTCCAGGCAGTGGCACTGGGGCTGAACCAAAGATGGTGTGTGGGTGTGCACATGAGTTTCACAACTCATCCCAACACTGGGAGCAGGTACTCTCTTAGAGACCTGAGGAAGCCTGGGCAGAAGAGATTGTGACCCAAAGTCCCCTTTGCCTCCATGATGAGTGTGCTCATGTTGAGACAGTACATGTCACATTGGTCAGATTTTCCATCTCTGGTTGCCACTGTGGTCAGGTCACACTGTTTCTCTGTGAGTTAATGAGACATCTTGCCATAGTGGGGGGTGCTGGATGCCCCCACTGACTATGCCAAATCCATCATCTTGATATAGGCACCCAATGACCACAAGTATGAAGAGCCCAGGAGCTCATTACCATAGTTATGTGAACAAGTGAAAGCCGCCATTCAGATTCCTAGAACAGCAGTGCCTTGGACACCTTTTGTACCAGGTGTCCCACAGGGACAAGGTCATTCTCTAGTGGTCACATAGGGAATGCTGAGGACAAGCAGGGCCTGAGCAGTGGCAAGCATGGCTCTTAGGATGATGTTGCATCTCACTGAGTGAGGGCAGGGCACAGTAGTTCTTAAAATATGGAACCCACTGGGCATGGCGGTTCCATGTAACCCTAGCACTCAGGAGACCGAGGCAGGATTGCACAAATTCAAGACCAGTCTGGGCTACCTAGTGAGTTCTGGGCTGCCCAGGGATACATAGCAAGATCCCGTCTAATAAACAAAGGTAGGTGGGGGAAACACATACAGAACCTACAGTGGAGAACAAACCAGAGCAAAACAACCATAAAATCATAAGGACACTTTGGAACTGTTGATCATTTGATGGTGAATGGCAAGCGTGATATGTATTTTTTTTTTAAATGCCATCCGACATCAAATAGATGTCGAGTTCCTAGCAGGTGGCACTACGGTAATTATTGAGAAGATGTGTCTCTTCTGAGGAGGAGATACATGCCAGACTTCTAGGGCCTGGGTCTCTGGTGTCTAAAGACAGGTGTGTAAAGGTCACACTCTGACATGCTGCAGTGCCACCATCGGGGAATTGAGGTGAAGGGTGTTCCAGCAATGAGGCTTGCTCCTTCAGCATTTCTGGGTTTGAAATTCTTCACAGTTGGAATTATCGGGATTAGGGGGACCAAGAGTGAAAATTGACTTTCACTTGCCTGGAAAAGGAAGCTTCCAGCCACAGTGTATGTAGTGTGTAGTATGTAGTGTGTAGTATGTAGTGAAAGCAGGTCCCTTTCTGTTTCACGGCCCCAGGCCCTGAGCCATGCCTGGGTGTGGCTTCCATAGTGATGCACAAACACATAAAACCAAGACCTTGTTTTTCCTTAAGTGTCTGTTAATAAAATAAATTATTCAGGGTTTGTATGTTTGTCTTCACCTGTGTGCAAGCACATGTATGTAACATGCGTGTGAAGCTAGAGAACAACCTTGAGTGTCACTCCTCCAGTGTCCGTCTGCCTTTTATGTGTGCATGTATGACAGAGTTCGCCATTTAGTCTAGACTGGATGTCTGTCTGTACAGAAAGTCCTGAGAGATGGGATCCACCTGCCTCCACCTCCCCGACTCTAAGATTACAAACACACCCAATCAAGCTGGGTTTTCTTTAATGTAGGGTTTATGGCTCAAACCCTACATAAGGTCTTCATGCTTTCAAAACAAGTACGTTACTAACAGAGTGACCTCCCCAACCGCATCCAGGTTTGTCTAGCCACCTAAAGCCCTGCCAGCAAGAGATAGCCCCTGTCAGCCTCTTGTTAACCTCTTTCCTTTGCTTCCCTCTGACTCGTAAGTGCTGCCTGGCCAGCTCCTTCTCTGTCACTGAGGCTCACCAGGGCCTGCCCAGCACTCTACCAGCCCCTTACCCTGCTGTGTACCCCTGCAGCAGCCAGCTAGCCATGCTCTCAGCCCCACTCTCCCCTGTTTACCCAAGTGTGTCATGATTCACCTCCCTGTCACTGCCACTGCCAAGTTGGTACCAGTCCCAGCAGTGGGTAAATTAATAAAAGAGGCCGCTGTGGCTGCTGGCATTGGCGGCACCCACAGACAGATACAGGTGTCAGCGGCGCTCTTGAAGTGTGTCTGCACAGGCCACTGGGGACCTCAGCTGTACTTTTCCTTTTTAAACTGCCCTGTTCTGCGTGAGGACTTCACTTACAGTGCTTTGTGGGGGAGAGGATGCCTGTGCACAGAGCTAAAAGCAGCCAATCCATTTCCCAGCCAGCATGCATCTGGCATCCTGTGTGGGTCCCCCACTGTGCCACCTCCAGTGTCCCTCTGTTCTGCACACCAGCAAATTCCAAGGGGCCCTGTAAGTGCTTCATACGACCCATGAGACCACAAAAGCAAAGGAGACTGGCTAAGGCTAAGAGCAGTTCTGGTCAGTATGTGAAGTGAAGAGGTTTCCACGGCTACCTGAACACTGGTACTTTCTCTGAGTCACAGTGGTTTAGGCCACTTTGGTTCCCTTTACTGGGTATAATTCTCAATTAGCAAATGTGCCTAGTCCCAGGACAGCTGGGTCTCACACTGTGACCTGTCTGGCCCAGCTCGAGAACACTGCCAGGCTCAGGAACCTGTCGAGAGAGAGTGTAAGAGTCAGTGCCCATTTCCCGCCTGTAGCTGCCATTCTATGCTGAGCGTTCCATGCCAGAAACATGAAGGAAGGGGCGGTTATGGGTGAAGGGGGCCCAGTCACCACACCTTTCAACAAACCGGGGTTCAACAAGGAACAGACACAGGATTCAGTGTATACTGCTTTGTAAATAGAAAAGTGAACCCCAGCTCTGTTGAACGATGGGGTTCGATGAGACTCAGCTGATAGGGTCTGCACCCCCGGGTTCCTTCCTGTGCAGTCTTGTGTGGCATTGTGAGGATTGATCGTGTGATTAAGTCTTGTGTTTGTTTAAACCTCTAACTGATTTTGTTCCGTTTCTGTATTCCATTTTCATTTTTAATCATCATTATCATTACTGTTCTGTTTTGTTTTCCGTTGCCATCCCCTTAAAAGTCGATTTATGTACCACACGCCTTGGCATTCAGGAGAGCCTATTCATCAAAGGTAGTGTCTCATTCCCGCTGGCTGGTCCTCGTTGCATGCCTGTCTGTGATTAACCACCTGGACAGCCCTGCTAGGCCCTGCAGCCGCGTCCTCACTAACGGTCATCCGTGCATGCAGCTGTCACAGTCAAGCCTTCTTTAGCTGTTCACAGAAAGCGGAGGAGATGGTCACTCTTCCCTTGGCTGGAGTGCATGCCATCAAGGGTGGGGGCAGAGCGGCCCCTGTGGGTCTGGGTAGCCCAGCAAGGGGTGGTCACCACCTCCACTCCGAACCCTTAGGGCACTGGGCTGCTGTGACGATCCTGCTGCCCGTTCACTTGATCTACTGCTGTCATTTGAGCTCCTTGAGGAGAGCTGATAAGTCTGCACCCAGGTTGAATGTAGACCTCTCCTTCATGTTCAAAAAAGTTTCTTGGTTTTGTTGTTTTTTTTTTTTTTTGTTTCTTTTTTTTTTTTAAGAGGAAACAAAGAGGGTCTCACAAAAGAGGACAGTCCCCCACTTGGTGCTTTTCGGTGGCTGCCCAGAGTCTGTCCCATCACTAAATGCTTGGGAGTGTGGTGGCCCCTGTGTACAGGTGGCTGGCACGTCCGTCCGTGTCAGCATGGGACTTCCACCCCAGCTCCCCTGCCAGGTCATTTCCACCCTTGCGCTCCGTCACAGTGGTCGCCTCTGCACACCCAAGCAGTCACCACCACTGTGCCTTTCTCAGCCTGTGTTAGTCTGAATCCACCAAGATTTAAAATGGAGGCATGCATGCTGTCTCTCCTTCACAGGTTAGCTACTAAAACGGGTATGACCCCTTCCACCTAGAGAAAGGAATCCCAAAGAAGACGGAAAAAGAACCCTCACTTTCCAAACATTTTCTTTTTCCTGTATGCCTCAGAATATGAGGCCTAGGGAAACATTTTACTGTGGTTTTTGTATTTGGTTTTTTATTTTATTTTGTTTTGTTTTTTTAAACCACCACAATGCCTTTAAAATAAAAAACCACAGACATTCTAGGTGGTGGTGGCACGTGCCTTGTGGTCCCAGCACTCAGGAGGCAGAGACAGGAAGTTCTTTGTGAATTCCGGGACAGCCAGGACTACACAGATAAATGCTGTTTTGGGGGGGAGGGGAGATAAGCAAAAATAAACAAATAAAAAAAAAAAACCCAGACATGCTTTTATGGCAATTATGACCTCAGTGCCAAAGGAGTGTGTCTGTCTGAGTTTTACTCTTCTAACACTCACCCTCAATTAAGCCTCTTGTCCCTGCCACAGAGGTAAATGTCTCACATTGAGGTCTCTGGCCTAGCCTCAGCAGAGGCGCCTGCACCGGCCATAACCAGCTGACTGCCAGGCAGCAGCTCCCATGTAGGGGACAGTCCTCCTCGTAGCCTCGCCAGCTTGCCACCCAGACAGCCTCCACCTTCATGCTCAGGAGCTCTCTCTCACTTTCTCTAGCCCAGAACCTACACAGAAGAGGAGCTGAGCGCCAAGCTGACGCGACGCGTGCAGAGGGCAGCACGGAGACAGGCCAAGCAGGAGGAGCTGAAGCGGCTGCACCGAGCCCAGGTACACGCTGGCAGTGGGACACCGTGTGCAGGTGGGCGTGGAGTAGCATCTGTGCCCCCAGAGGACCTCATCTCCAGCCAGGAAGGTGAAGAAGCCAGGGCAGAAGCAGAGAGGGGCATTCATGGCTTCCAAGATGACAACCTCAAAGTACCTCAAAGTACGCTCTACAGAGGCCGGTCTTTGTAGCACTCTCTACAAAACTCCGTGCTTTGAGTTTTCTGGAAGCCTTGGTCTAGAGTGGATGTAGAGTCAGCAACTTCACTTGTAACCGTAGTGTCAGGGGTCAGTTTGTGGCCCTGACCTCTGCTGGAATAGTCTGGGGTTTTATAGGGAAGCTCAGAAGGACCTCTGGTTGTCAGCCTCCATCCTCAGGCTGCACAGGCTAGTCCGGTGGTTCTCAGCCTGGGGGTCATGACCTCTTCACAGGGGTCATCTAAAACCATCAGAAAACAGGTGTTTACATTATGATTCATGACAGTAGCAAAACTACAGTATATTATGACACAGTAACAAAAATAATTTTATGTTTGGGAGTCACCACAACATGAGGGACTGTGTTAAGGGGTCACAGTATTAGGAAGGTTGAGAACCGCTGTTCTAGACACTTCTTTACTAACTTATCGAGACAGGACTTCTAATTGCTCCATCCAGTGCTTTTACAGCCTCCTTGCTGTAAAGGTCCAATTAAGTCATTTTTCAATGCTTTTGAACTATTCCAGGGAAAGATAATAAGCCCCGGGATCCAGCTGCATGCAGCTGGCACAGCACACTGACTGTAATGCCCCTTTCAGAGTCTTGATAACGCTTATCTTTTTCCCACCTTGGGCCTGCAGCTTGATTCTCCTCCCGGAAGCTAGAATTAAGAAAAGTCTGGAAGCTTATGCTCTGTTTTTCCATAGATCATCCAACGGCAGCTGGAGCAAGTGGAGGAGAAGCAGAGGCAGCTGGAGGAGAGGGGTGTCGCGGTGGAGAAGGCCCTGCGAGGAGAAGCAGGTACTGTCCGGCCTCCTCTATGAGGGGGCTTCTTCTCAAGGAGAGAGTCCTTCTTCCTTTCTGGGGTGAGCCAAGTGGGCGACACCTCTTCTGAAATTCAGCTCCTTCTCTGTAGGGTTTTCTGAGTTTTCGGCATCATCAAGGTCTGGTGCTTACCATGTTCAGGCAGCCCAGACACCCAGGCCCGCTCCCCGGCCCATTCCTCAGCTTGCTGTTGCCATGCAGAACAAAACCCCGGGCCCTGTCACCTGTTGGCGGCACGCCCTGACCTTTCTCTTCCTCTCCCTACCATATTCTCTAAAAGAAAATATCAGGGAATAAGGGAGATTGTCCCACAAGGAACCATCACAGAACTGCACTGAACAGGCCTCAGCCTGCTCTCCCAAGTGTTCCTCCTGTCCTCAATTCCCTGGGCTCCCTCCAGCCTGAGCTACACAGCCACAGAGCCTGCCTCCTCTCCCCTGTGGGGCTTCTGGCTGCCCTTGCTCTCTGATTTCCCTGGGTGAGCCCAGGCTTGTGTCCGCCAAAGGCTGGTCACTAGGAGCAGTATCGGACAGGCTTGGACTTGTGATAAGTTCTTGCGGCCTGGAAAGCTGTTAGAGCGTCCCTGTGGTCGGAACCTGCCAGGCTTGATATGGGTGGGTACACAGAAGATGAGGTAGCTGAGCCATCTCTGGATTCAAGGTCAGCCCAGCTTCAGGCCTGGAATGATTGATCTCTGCTTCCTTAAGATCCAGGCCTGGATGGGGACCCTCTTCTCTCTGCAGATGGCCACTGGCCTCTGGGTCTAGCATTCATGATGTAAAGCTACAAAGAAGGAAGGGACAGGGCCTTCCTTCCAGACACGGGAAAGCAAGCTTGGACACCTCCTGGGCAGGCAAACCAAAAGAATTAGTAGGTCAGACAGGGCCAGCCATTGCCTCGTGGGCTTTCTGAACACTGGCCAGTGGTCTAGCCTCGAGGTGTGGGCCTGGATCCAATTTTGCAAGTGGAATTCCCAGCAGAGAGTCAGGGCAGGCACAGAAGCAACCTTTCCTTCAGATGACCCTCAGGAGAAGACTTGTGTCGGCTAAGAGTAGTGACCCTCAGGTGAAAATGTGTCCTGAGAGAGAAGGATGAGTTTGTGCCTCACCTAACGCTAGACCTAATGCTTGGAGCCCATGCTTCTAAAGGGAGTCCAAAAGCTTGAGTCATTTTGTGTCCAGCAAGGTAAGAAGACTGGGAACAACTGGACAAGGGACACTGGCTTCCACACCAAGCAGTGAAGAAAGGATTCACCCACATATTTTCTTGGCTCCCCAGTGAGCCTGTTGCCCTGTCCCCAGCCTACAGGCCTGCCCCTGCCTCATTTCCTCTGACTGATCTCCTCAGTGCAGCCTGAGTGTAGGTTAGCCCTCCTTTTGGAGATCCTGGACTACACAACTATAAAGGCCTGTCCCCTCTGCTACTCTCTCCATGCACAAAAGGCCAGAAGGGAACCTGCAGCATGCCTTCCACCTTCCTCCAGATGACTTCAGCTAAGGGACAGCTATGTCCCACAACAATAGCTGGCATTGCTGTCTAGGTGCATGAGCTCATGTCATGGACTTCCCCAAAGTGCTCTGTCTCTCCCGCTCGCGAGGTTCAGAGGCTCAAGGAGATAGCCATTCGTTGATGGTTTCTGGAAAGTGTCCAAGGTTTCGTATAACTGGAGTCTGTTTCTATACTTCACCACTTCTGTAAGAGTCATATCACTCCAGTTGCTACCAGTGAGCCAGAAAATGAAACCATTATAAATTGATGGAGAGACCCGAGAGATGGCTCAGCATGTAAGATTTTTACTGCTTTTACAGAGGACCAGAGTTCAGTTCCCAATACCTACATCAGGCAGCTAATAATAGTCTGTAACTCCAGCTCCAGGGGAGCTGTCTCCCTTTTCTGGACTCCACAGACACCAGTATTCGCGTATACATGCACACACACACACACACACACACACACACACAAATACCCTGAATTTCTCCTAACTTTAGTGGTTTTCGGCTTGCTTTGGCAGGAAAGCCCATTGTACACAATTGCTAGTTGAGGCCTAAAATCCAAAAGAATTATTCTAAATGTTTTTTTTTAAAAAATTGAAAAACCACGTACACACAAACTGGAAAGTACATGACCCAGGGGGAGCTGCAGATATTTGGAACCTCATTGCCCAAGTGCAGCTCTGAGGGCTTCCCAGCAGGGGCGTGTGGTTGCTCTAAATGGGAGCCTTTTCTCTTTAGCATCTCACCAGGAACTCCCCAGGTATCTGCACATATGACAGATGCTCACAGATACACCAGCTGATAGCAGCTCATATTCTCTATAAAACAAAAACCAAGTATATGGGCTGGAGAGATGACTCAGCAGTTAAAAGTACTTGGTGGCTTTGCAGGGGACCTAGATTTTGTTTCCAGCACCTATGACTGCTCACAACCATCTGTAACTTCAGTTCCAAGGGATCCAATACCCTTTGCAGATACCAGGTATGCATGTGATACAAATACATGCAGGCAAAACACCCATACACATAAAATAAACCTTTAAAAATTATAACCAAAAAGCTTCCAAACATAAAGAGAAATCCCAAATATACTACTCTATGCTGGCATGATACATGAGCCATCTGAAGGACCATACCAGCCAGCAGTGGGCTCTGAAGTCAACTCTCCTAAGCCACACTCTTCTCGAGGATCCCTGGACAGTGGCACATGATCTCTGTCATTTCCAGCAGGACTTGAATTAACATCTTACTAATGTATTTATGAGAAGTTCAAAATTCTTGGACATGAAGCAAAAAATGCTTAGACCTGAGAATCCCTCAAAAGCAGGCTCACTGGAGGTGTCCACTGTGTCAACAGTTGGCACGTGAAGCCCTTGAACATGGTGTACATTATGTCCTTCAAAGGTTAGAAGTCACTGTGGACAAGTGTCTGGGAGACCCCATGGAACCTCTCTTAAAGAGCCCTAGGCTTCAGCAGAAGTTTGATAGCCTTGTGCCAGTCCAGCTCCTGACTATAGGCAGATCTTTGCACAGCCCCCTAGACCGGAAGGTGAGACTGTCTCTGAAGCTGCACGTCACCCTGTGACGCATCTGTGTTTCCAAGTACGTTCTTTTCCTTTTCTTACACTTAACACTTCCTGCCTGGGGCTGGACTGGTGTCAGTTCCCAGTGACCTTGTCCCTTCCTGGCAGAGAGCGTCTTAGAGACTGGGTGTACACAGTGGCGGTACCTTTCTCTCATCTCAGCCCGTTCGTTCCACTTGGCCTTCCCATGTACCTGGAACGCAACAGCACAACTCCACTTCCTCCCTGAGCTGTACAAACTCGTCAGAGCCTGCCATCCTGTCTCACGTGGTGGTCTCAAGCCTCCACTGGGGTCAAAGGGGTCACTCTCTGTTAGCCAAGATGCCCTTCATGGAAGAAATCTGGCCAGAGTTGCTGTCAGGTAACCTGTATTTGTCGAAGACTTCCAAATATACATGCTGCATGGATTAGCTCCAGAGCCCTGGAGACTAGGGCGAGGCTGAGACTTGTGGCCTTCTTGTCCCAGAATCCGAAGGGAGCCTCTCTGTTTCTAGAACTCTGACTCAAGCGTAGAGCCACTGGACTGACCTTGAACACGAGCCAGGAAGCCACCAGAGGGCACTCAGCTTTCCGACATATCCATCCTTAAAAGAGAAGGTTATGGGTTGCCTGGGTCAGCATCCAGATGGTGAGGTGGCAGACATTTTGGTGTGCTTTGGGCTTCTTTATGATTCTGGGCCCTAAAAACTGCTAACTTAGGACCCACTTGCTGCCAGGCTCCCCTTTGCTCTGTAGGCACGTTAAGACAGCACACTGCTGGACAGGATGGCCTGTGGGCTGAAATTCTGCCAGTGTCCCAGCTCATTTCTTACCTTGAAAGAAAAGGCTCTGCGAAGATGGGGGACCTAAACCTCAGAAGACAAGGGACATTCATCTCAAGCCCATTGAGCGAAAGAGTGCCTGCTTGCCACTAAGGGGGTCACTTGCAAGTTCCTTGGTTTCCGGACCTTTCTTTTTTCTTTTATCCCCCCTTCCCTTGATGTTCACATCCTGAAAACCTTATCTTGGAGCCTTTACTATTCAGAAACTAAGTAAGAGAATACCCCTGTTTTGCCCCTAAACTGTTTTAAATCTTGGGTAAGGTTGCCTTCCGGCAGGGTTGGAGTTCCTAACGAAGCCAAGTCCCATCCTTGATGAGTCGTGTTGTGAACTGAAATCTCCCTGACGTTGACTGGCCTCTCCATCCCATGGTTTATGCCTCCCCTCCCCCAATACCCCGAGCTGCACAGATGGCCTGTGTGTGTGCGCGCATGCCTTGCTTTACAGACATGCACGCTTTCCAGCTACTCCACTGGGCTCCCTCATGATACTTCTGCCTGTTTTATATGTGCCATGCATTTGATAGCTTTTGGGTCGGGGTGGCAGCAGGGTCATCTTACCCAATAACTCTGTCTTCACCACTTCCTTGTTGTAGACTATTGGGGAGAGTCTTATTACAGTGGCCTCATCGACTTGCACCTGGGTGGTATGTATGGCATCGTCACTGCTGGCACTAACCCTGAGACGCCCTTCCCTCTTGTTCTCCATCCCAGTCCCTGCTCACAGCAGTGAGGAGAAACCAACCTGATAACCAAATGGCAAAGCACAAACCCTTTTCCAGGCTCAGTGTCAGAGCGCTTCCCGAGTGTGCACCAAAGCCCTGGGCTCCATCCCCAGCACCACCAAAAAGCAGCAGCTGTCAGGTCCTTTCCTCCGTGTGTGCCACACAGGAAGATTTAAGTTTGAAATTTTTCTACATTTCTCTTTGAAGTAAAACCTACCCCCACCCTGGCTCCACCCACCCCGCATCTGCATCCCGGTTCGTTTCATGGTCTGCAGTTGGGCAGCGATTCGTTCACACTCACGTCCAGACTTTTATCCTGAATCTCCGCCCTTTCCATGTGTCAGTTTCACATCCACTGGGATGCTCACCGGCAGCAGCACTCCTGATGCAAGTGTGAGCTGGGGGCCAGACTCCGCGGTCGAGCCCTTGCCTGGCATGCCCAGGATTCCATCCCCAGCACCTAAGGATAAAAGATGTTTTGAACTCAGCTTCCATCGTTTTCCTTTGGAATGTGTCACATATTCCCTAGAGCATGAGGAAGGCTTTATGTGCTGTCTCTGCTCAGATTCACAAGACTTAGCACATACGTAGTTAAGTCTACAGTGTCCCTCCATCACCATGGCCTGGGACTCGCTTCTCACTGGTCATTTGGGGCTTAGTAGACATGCAGATCCTCCGACCCGCAGCCCACACCGTCTGCATCAGAAGCTCCACAGAGGAGGACTGGGTGTCTAGTCTTACAGACTTCCCAGATGGTTCTGATCCCTCTAAAGCAGGGGAACCCTGGCCGTGTGGGACTGGATGTTTGTTGTCCTGAACAGAGAATGGCCAGTCATGAATCTTGCTCCTAGACTCTGAGCTGGTTCCTCCTGGAAGGCTGCGATGTTTCAAGATGAGCGTGTGTCCAGCCACTGGTTGTCTGGTGTAGCAGGGCAGCGGCAGCTCTCCTCTTCTTAATTAGGTGCTCTGGTCTCTTCACCTGCCCTTGGGGGTTCCATGCCTCCTGAAAACAGACATGCAGGGGAGTATAAAGCCCCTCCCTTTCCCATGAGAGAGACACTTCCTGGCCCACTCATTTAAAAACCATAGTCTGCTCCAAAACTGCAGAGAGACCCTGTCTCAAAAAACAACAACAAAAAGAATAAAAGCCATAGCCAGCAAAATGGCTTATTGGTTGTGGGTGTTTGCTTCCAAGTCTGAAAACCTGGGTTCAGTTCCCAAGACTCAAGGTACAAAAGAACCAGCTCTCACAAGTTGTCCTCTGGCGTCCAACACACATCCTCCAACAATGCATGCAAAAAAAGACTTCTTCTTTTTTTTTTTTTTTATAAGCCAGGCCAAGCTAGGTATAGTGGCACACATCTTTAATTCCAGCACTTGGACGGCAGAGACAGATGAATCTCTTAATTTTGAGACCAGCCTGGTCTACCTAGCAAGTTCCAGGCCAGCCAGGGCTACCTAGTGAAATTCTGTCTCTAAATAAATAAAGCCAGGCCATTAACACACACCTTTAATCCCAGCACTCAGGAGGCTGAGGCAGGTAGAGCTCTATGAGTTAAAAGCTCACTTGTCTGCATGGTGAGTTCCAAGCCAGCTGTAGCTACGTAGTGAGACCTTGTGTGCCTGCAATCTTAGCACTAGAGAGCTTCAGGCAGGAGGATGGACATGAGTTTGAAATCAACCTAAGCTAATATGAGGCTATCTAAAAACAATAAATCCACAAAACTAGAATAAATAGAAATAAGAACCAGAGCTAGGAGATGAATCAGTCGCCCCCATGAGTGCCCGTCGTGCAAGCGTGAGGACCTGAGTTCCAGTCCTCAGTACCCACGTTAAGGAAAACAGCCGGGCATGGTGATGTGCACTTGTGATCCCAATGCTGGAGAGGCTGACCCAGGAGGACTCCTGCAGCTTGTTGTGCAACTAGTCTGAGCTCCAGGTTCAGTAGCAGACCCGGTCGCAGAAAACTGAGCGGAGGGCTGGTAGCCTAAGGAACTGGGCCTCTGGAACCCTCATGGTCGAGAACCAACACCCGCAAGTTGTCTGCTTTTCGGTGGCATGGTCATCCCACCCTCACACGATAAATTCATGAATTAATATGTTAATAATGATTGCAGAGGTGGCACAGTGGTTAAGAGAACTTGCTGCTCATCCAGAGGACCAGAGTCCAATTCCCAGCGTTCATGTAAGGTAGCTCAAAACCACCTGCAGCTCCACCTACAGGGGATCCGACACCCTCTTCTGGCCTCCGTGGGCGCCTGTGTACATATGCCCAAACAGGCACACATACAGATTTTTTAAAAAGAAAAATAAATGTAATTAATAAAAAACATTTAAATGATGGGGTAAGCGATTGAGAAAAACAGCTACTGTCCACCTCTTGCTTCCATACTCCTGCATTCACATATGCGTACACAACACACACAAGTAGATAAAATAAACGTCAGGCCTAGGGGTGTACATGTGTGCACATATGCACCATATATACAAACGTGCGTCAAATGAATCCAGAACCAGGCAGTGCACTTGCCCAGCATGCACCAGAAGGTCAGTACCTTCACTGGTCAGTAGGTCGGACCCTTGGCTCCTGCGTGGGTGGCATGTGCCAACCTCTGCTCTCTTTGTCCCCAGTCTTAGGCTTCCAGGGGTCCACATGGCCACAGACCCCTTTCAATGTCTCCAGGTTCTAGAGTGTTGGGGGGCTCCCACCCACGGCCATTGATTCTGAAAAAGGGCTGATGCTTGCACCCCAGTTAACAGACCCTGTCTTGTCTAACGCCCTGTCTCCCTTCCTTGCCTACTCCTAACAGTTCCCCGTGTAATGTTCATGTCGTTCCTGAGGTCTTCCCCGTATGTGAAAAGATAATATACGTTCAGGACATAGTGGAGGGAGTGGCCCAGACCCACTTCTTGCCACATAACCCAGCCCTCCTGCTTGAGATCCTGGCTTTTGTAGCATAGCTGTCTGTGTGTGTCTTGAATGTTGTCCTTAACCCACTGCTCAGGTAAGGCAATGCAGTGGGTTGTTTTCTGTGACCCCAGACCCCAAACTCTAACCTTGGATTTAGTATGCCAGGGGATTCTGGGCTGAAACCAGATCAGCAGGAAAAAGAACAATTTGCCTTGGTGGTTTTGAGACCCCCCCTCCCCCAGTCGGACACCGTGCTGCTTCTGCCCCCCACCCCGTCCAGAATCTCACTGCTTCCTCCTGCCAGCCACTCTGATTTGCCCATGGTACCGGTGCCATGTGGGTTCTGCTCGCATGTAGGCAGACACTTCTGCCCAATGAAGGAAAATGCAGTCCTCTCAGAAGAGGGACACTTGTGTAGGCCAGGAACCCACATGGTAGAGGGAAGCAACACCTGCTCTCTTCGGAGAGAAAGACATAAATGCCACGGTAGAGTCTGTTCAGAGTCTGCTGGGGTTTTCCCTTCGGACACATATTTTAATATTCATTATTTGAGAAGTACTTGCTCTTTTGAAATCTGGATCTTGAAGTAGATAAAGAAGCTGGCTGATCCTTTACTCCTGCTTCCCTAAAAGGCCACACAGAAATGCCGTGTGTGGACCACGACTTCAATCTTACTGGGGAAGAGCTTTAAGCAGACTTGGAGTGTTGGAAAGTCCTCCCTCACCCGAGATGTCCAGACTCCTGATTGCTGCCTGATGCTGGGCCTGCTCACCACGGTGCCTCAGTGGGGTCCCTATAGCTCTTAGCCTGCCACATGTAGGCTTGAAACCCACATTAAAGTCTCTTTGCCAGGCACACCCGTTTCCCCAGCGCTCCAAAGGCAGAGCTGAAACAATTGCAAATCAAAGCCTCGTCTGGACTGAAAAGAGACTGTTGTTTGTTTGTCTTTTCAGCCCATCTCGGGGTTGAGGATATGGCTCAGAGGCCCAGAGTCCAATGCACAATGCCAAATGAAAAAGAAAAGGTCTCTTATAGCCAAAAAGGTATAGCAGTTTACTTCCTTGACTAGCTGAACCATGTAATTTGGAAAGAAGTCATTAAAATGGTAGCAAGTGGCCCTTGAGCCAGAGAGAAAGGGTTCCCACATCATAGCCCTGTCCGTCCTCCCCGGACATGTAACAGGCACAGCCCAGCCCAGCGAGCCTTGTTGCACTAGAGCAGGGTGCCTGGAAATCTACAGACAACCAAGTGTTCTGAAAAGCTTAGATTAAAAATACACATAAACCGTCTGTGGTAGCACATGTCTTTAATCCTAGCACTTGGGGACAGAGGCAGACGGATCTCCATGAGTTCAAGACCAGCCTGGTCTACGAGTAAATTCCTGTCTTGAAAAACCAAAAACATGTGTAACTTCTAATTTTACAACTCTTACTTCACAGTCTGTCTCTGAGTGGAATGAAAGGTTTGAAAATACAGTGTGCTGGGGCTGGAGAGATCGCTCAGGGGTTAAGAGCACTGGCTGCTCTACCACAGGTCCTGAGTTCAATTCCCAGCAACCACATGGTGGCCCACAGCCATCTGTAATGAGTTCTGGAGCCCTCTTCTGGTGTGCAGGCAGAACACTGTATGCATAATAAACAAATCTTGAAAAGAAAGAAAAAGAAATGTGGCATGAGGACTGGGAAGGGATCCCATGATCACCAGTGAGCTGGAGAGAGGCCTGCAAGGCCTGTTGGTCCCCTCCTAAGTGACTTTCTTCCATTGATTTCCTTTCATTGGGCGTTGATAGGTTTCTGCCTTTCTGGTCAAGCTGAACATGTAGCCTGACTCTGTTTTTATGTGATACTCTGTGTGTGTGTGTGTGTGTGTGTGTGTGTGTGTACACGAACTCAGGTGCCCACTCACATCCATGTGCATCTCACGTCTCACGTGTGTTTATCCTAGCTCACCAGTCTACAGATTCATTCTGTATTGAGCTCTTTAGTACAGCGCATCTCCTGGCTCTGTCACG